TGGACACGGCTGACGTGGCCCTGGCTGAGTAAGTGACACTCTCTACCTTCCGCCGAACTGGCGCGGCCGTGCCCTGGACTCCCCGCCCTTGGGGGTGGAGCGTGGGAAGTGGGGACAGAGATGCTCTCTCTGGAGCCTACAGTCTAGTCAGAAAGGCAGGGAAGTGGACAGACACTGGACAATTGACCTGTGGTCAACCCAGGTGACCTGCAGAGAGGAAGGGCTCTGGCCTGAGTTACCCGACAGGAAAGAAAGCACAAGCCATGCCGCTGGACCCCGGCATGCCCCCCATGTCGTTCCCCACGAAAACTGTGTGTAACGAGATCACATTGTTGTACGAGTCCAACGTGTCCCCTTGGTTTGTCTTACTCACTGTCACCGCCCGAGACCCCTTGGCCGTTGGGAATGGTTAGACCTTTTCCAAGTCACCACTGGATGACCATGGACTGCTACCCCGTCGTTGCCCTGCCCACTGCCCTAAGCTCAGGTTCCAGCCAGGTCCCTCCCCCAAGTGTCTGTCACCCCTGCGGGAGAGAAGCCCTCAACAATAAGCCTCATCTTTTTGAGGGGTGGGGGCCCCCCAGGCCTCTGACAGCAAACTCCACTCCCTGTGCAGATTCTTCTTGGCTTCTTTGAAGTCAGCCATGATCAAAGGCTGTCGAGAACCACCATACCCCAGCATCCTGACTGATGCCACCATGGAGAAGCTGGCACTGGCCAAATTTGTGGCTCAGGAAACTAAGCGTGAAGTAAGAACCCCGGGAGGAGGGGGCGTCCCTGAGTCACCAGCCCTGGCGTTAGGGTCAGGAGGTACAAAGAGATGTCTTTGGCATTTCTCCATCACCCACCTGGGAGGCACCGTCCTGTCCCCGATCCTGCCTCCCTCCCCATTTGGGGTGTGTCCTCACTCTCTCAGTGGCCACTCCCGGTGCTGGCCCAGACCTCACTGCTCTGTCCGCTGCCCCCTCCCCAGGCGACCGCTGTTACTGTGCGCTTCTACGGGCTTGTGCACTGGGAGGACCCCATGGACGAGTCCCTGGGCCCTGTTCCCTGCCACTGCTCAGCCCCCGAGGGTGTCATCACCAAAGAAGGCATGCTGCATTACAAGGCAGGCACCTCCTACCTGGGCAAGGAGCACTGGAAGACTTGCTTCGTGGTACTCAGGTGGGACTCCCCGCAGCTCCAGCCTCAGGCTCTGCCCTGAGGTTGTTGGGCTGTCAGGGCCCCAGCAGAGAGAAAGGCCCAAAGTGGGGGTAGCTCCCTCCTCCACAGGGCTTTGGAGTAGACATCTCCCAGGATATTAGGGCTTCTCTGTAAAGCCAGCCTCGAATGCTTCAGGCGAAGACCTGGCCTGGGGCTGCACCGAGCTGTCCCCAGTGTGCCGAGGGAGCAGTGCTCCCTGCTGCCCCTCTGCAGTCCCTTCCTCGCCCCCCTGCCACTGAAGACAGGTCCCCGGCCTCTGGGGTTCAAGGCCCCAACTTGTGGGGAGTCCCAGGGATCTGGGCTCTGCCTGGCCCCCAGTTTTGGGGACAGGCCTCACCCCTACATGTCATGCCCTGCAGCAACGGGATCCTCTACCAGTACCCCGACCGCACCGATGTCACACCCCTGCTCTCGGTGAACATGGGGTGAGTGTCCCCGGCGATGGGGCTGGGCGGGTGTTGGGGTCCTGCATCGCTGCCTGAAGGTCAAGGAGCTCTGACTGAGCCTGGGGCCCAGGGCTCCCCTTCTCCCCAGCTTGAGCTGGTTCTCCCTTTTGTCAGTTCAGCCTGCCCACCTCAGTCCCATGCCATCCAGCAGCCCTGACCAGTGCCCCGTGTCCTGCCGAGCTGTGAGGGCTACAGGAACTCAAAGGAGGGGAGGAAGGGAGGCTTCCTCTCAGGAAAGCAAGAGGAGCCATGCTGGCCTATAAAGGGTCCAGTCTGACGGGGAGGCAGCCCCCCAGTCTGACGGGGAAGCAGTCCCCCAGTGTGATAGGGGAGGCAGTCCCCCAGTGTGACGGGGAGGCAGTCCCCCAGTCTGACGGGATGGCAGGCCTGGGAAGCTCCTGACCTCAGGGGGAAGATGGACACACACATATTTGGAGAAAGCATCGGCCTATAGGGGGAATATGAATGGTGTGCATTCTCACCCCTCATCTGGCCATGCTTAAGTATCTAGAAGAATCTCGGCAGAGAAAGCATCGGCCTATAGGGGGAATATGAATGGTTCTGAGAGCTAAGACCTGATTCTCACCCCTCACCTGCCCATGTTTAAGTATCTAGAACAATCTTGGCGATTGTGGATGTAAAAGGTGATACACGGAATGGAGTGGGGCTGCCCAGCAGCTTTAAGCCTCTCCTGAGAGCTAGAGGAGTCTGGACCACCTTCCGGTGTCCTCCAGCCCGTGGGACTGTGGGGCAGGCCCTGTGTCCACACGCCTTGAGCCACGCCGAGGGGCTCCCACCCGTGCCACCCCTGCCTCCTCGCTCCTGTTTCACCCCTCCTCCTCTGGCCCAGGGGGGAGCAGTGCGGTGGCTGTCGGCGGTCCAACACCACGGATCGGCCCCACGCCTTCCAGGTCATCCTTGCTGACCGGCCCTGCCTGGAGCTGAGCGCCGATAGCGAGGCTGAGATGGCCGACTGGATGCAACACCTCTGCCAGGCTGTGTCCAAGGGGGTGAGCTCCCCCTGCCTCCGCTCACCTGGCCTCCTGACCCCATCCCGGCTCCCTTCCCCAAACCCACGTCAGTCATGGAGCAACCTGTGAGGACCAAGATAGGGAACTTCTATGGGACAGCCCAGGAGCAGACCCTGGAGCTCAGGGCCACCTGTGGCCCGGACGCTCTGTCACCCCCTCCCCACTTGTACTCCTGAGGTGGGCGGAGCCTGCCTGACCTCTGGCTGGGCCCCTAGAATGGGGAGTTCTGGTGCAGACCAGCCCCGGCCTGGCCCCAGCTTGCCTCTCCTCGCTCTCTTGCCAATGCAGGTCATCCCCCAGGGGGTAACTCCCAGCCCCTGCATCCCCTGCTGCCTGGTGATCACCGATGACCGCCTCTTCACGTGCCATGAGGATTGCCAGACCAGCTTCTTCCACTCCCTGGGCACAGCTGAGCTGGCCGACATCAGCGCCGTCTCCACAGAACCGGACCGGGAGTACTGTGTCTTGGTGAGCTGGGTGGGGGGTGCCGGAGGCAGGCCCCCAGGAAGGAGCGCGGTGTCCGCTCACCCGGGCCCCGGCTCTCCACAGGAGTTCTCCCGGGACAGCCAACAGCCCCTCCCACCCTGGGTCATCTACCTGAGCTGTACATCTGAACTGGACCGATTCCTGTCTGCACTGAACTCCGGGTGGAAAACCATCTATCAGGTACCCAGCCGCCCAGGGCCCTGTGGCGTAGAGCCGTTCCCCAGGGAATAGAGCCCCGTGTGGCACAGACCGAGGCAGGAGTTGGTCGCCTGGGGACAGCTCTGTACCTGCAGCTCCAGGACAGACATGAACATTTAGGGCCAAAGGGAAGCCCTGTCCTGCAGTGAGTCTGAGACTAAAGCTAAAAGTGGGACCCCAGAAATGCCATTCCTGACCTTGGTTCCGGTCAGAAAGCACACGTCACGTGCCCACGGTGGGGCTGAGGCAGAGAGCCGTGCTGGGGTGGAGCTCACTGGAGGGCAGGGCCTGCCGTGTGGGGCCCGCCTGACAGCTAGGGCCCTCTTTGGACGGAGGAGGCTTGGAGCATCACCCCGTCGTCAGCTGCAGCCCCTCCTTGAAGGGCAGGAGAATCGTGCGGCGTGGACATAGATCCCAGACGGGCTCCACCTGGTGCAGAGGGACCCCCTGGCCCTCACGGGGTCTCTGCACGCCCCCACGCAGGTGGACCTCCCTCACAAGGCCATTCACGAAGCCTCCAACAAGAAGTTCGAGGACGCCCTGAGCCTCATCCACAGCGCCTGGCAGCGCAGCGACAGCCTCTGCCGAGGCAGAGCCTCCCGGGACCCCTGGTGCTGAGGCGGAGCTGGCTGGCGTCCTGGGGCAGGCGAGGCGGCACGCCAGGCAGCACACACTGTCCTCACTGTCATCGTGCTGCTCGGGGCCAGGCTCCCATCCCCATTCCACAGCCCACTCCCGCCCCAGGCAGCAGAACCACCGAGTGGGGCTTGAAACAGCGTCTGTCCCCTCCCAGGGATCCAGAATGGGTGCTCAGAATGGGAGCATTGTGCTGGGCAGGTGGGCACTGGGAAGCACAGGGACAGAGGGTCCGAGCCCTATGGGCTCTGTGGTTGCACGGCCTCCTCCCCTGGACCCCCGGCTCAGCGCACGCCGTCTTGACGAGATGCTGATGGGAATACCAGCTCCGAGGGGAGCAGGAGTCCTCTCTCCCTCCCCTGCGCCAGGGGCCTGGGCAGAGGCTCAGGCCACCGCGGGGCCCTGGGTGCCCAGCCCCCCTTGTTCGTTTTTGAACATTCACCTGGCTGAGCGGGGAGCTGGGACACTGTCTCAGTGCACGTCCTCGCTAACTCCAGACCCCGGCACTCCTCTGCCCACCTCCCAGGGCCCGGGCCGGGGGCTGGAGGCCAGGCTGGCCCTCCCTGGCCACCAGGAGGCCCTGCATGTCCACGGCCCCCTTCTCCTGCCTCTCCCCGAATCTGGCAGTGCCCAGGGACCCAGGAATCAGGCCGTCTCCTTTCACGGGGAGCAGAGGGGAGGGAGGAGCCCTGGCAGAGGAGTGCAGCCCGCCAGCCCGGTGTCCACATCGGTGCCTCCTGACTGTCCCCTGCTTGGCTGGAGCCAGAGCCTTCCCAAGAGCTTGTCAGGGGCCTTCTGGGGGAAGGAATTAGGTGGTCTGGGTTGTGTTTTTTAAAATAAATAGACATGTTATATTGCCAAGACTTGTCACTGGCCCTTTTTGACCAGGGTGGAGGTGGGGGGCCTCCAACCCCTCTCCTCAGGCCCCTTGGCCCTTCTTTCTTCATCCTGCAAATGTTCCATCAGCTGCCCTGTGCCCACACTGGGAACCAGATGCCCTGCGGCCCTCGCCATCTGGAGAAACCAGGCTCCAGAGTTTCTTGGCCTGATCTTTGCCCTCCCTCCTGTTTCCTGCAGCGACCAGGGCAGAGGCCACTCTAGTCCGGGGGCATTTCTCCCCTGCTAGGGCATGGAGCTGCCACCTCCCCAGCCTCCCCAGCATTGGGGGTAAATGCAGGCCGCTCGGGATAAGCAGCGATTTCAGGCTGTTCGCAAGGCCTCTTGCTGAGCTCTGAGGCCCTCAAGCCGCTCGGCACCCGGCCTTCCAGGGCCTCACACAGGAAGAGGTGGGTGTGGAGGCTCCAGAGGCAGAGTTCAAGGCAGGGCGCTGCTTCTGATTTTGACTGGGACATGGGTGATTCAGGGTGGCCCTGGCAGGAGAGAGCTGTTCTGAAGATAGAGGCCAAGGTGGGCAGGGTGGTGCTGGCCCGGCCTGAGCAGCCTGGCTCCTCCTGGTGCCGAGGGGGGGAAGGGCCCTTATCACCAAGCACGAAAGCCCATTTGCATGTCAGGGGCTCCCACCAGGAAGAGGGTAGGACTCGGGGGCAAGTCCTTACCAAGCAAGTGACCAAAGCCACTAGTCACCCCTTGAGACACAACAGTCCTTATTTTTCCATCTCCTATCCCCCTGGAGCCCTCAAAGAAGCGGGGGGCGGGGGGGCGCCCTTTATTGGCTGAAGCACCGTGGTAGGTACGTTCTTCATACATCTCTAATCCTCCAAAGGAGCTCTGAAGTGGGTCCCGACCCGACGTCCCCATTTTACGAATGGAGAAGCCGAAGCTCAGAGGAAGGAAGTGACGTGCCCGGGGCACACACACTAGCAGAGCCTGGGGGTCCAGACTGGTCCTCCGCCTCCGCCCTCACTGACCGGAGGGACCAGAGACTGTGAGAGCCGGATGGGAAAACTGAGTCCAGGAAAGGAGACATCAGTACGAAAGGTGGTGGGGGAGGGACCGAGGCCGTTGCTGAGTTGCCTGCGCCCTGTACCAGGAGCCTCCCGGAGCTCTGAGCTGCAGCAGGACTGGCTGAGCCAGAGGCGGGGCAGGGGCACCAGCCCTTTGCCCCAGGGACAGAGGGAGGGCAGAACTAGAAGAAGGTCAGAAGGATGTGTCTGGGCAGATTGGCACCTTCTCCCCGCCCCCAGCCTCCCTCAGGTCCCAGGTGACCTTTCCCCCAGATCCCAGGGTCCAGGCCCTGCCCCTGACAGGAGGTGTGGAAAACAGAAGCAGCTGGGATTGGTCAGAGCTGGCGGGGCAGGGCGGGGGGAGGGGGGTGTCCCAGCCTCCCCCACCCCCGCACAGCACAGAGCGGAGCTGAGCAGGTGGACTCTGGAGATAGAACCTCCATAGCTGCCTGGCAGCTGCTGCAGGCCTGTTCCAGCCGGACCCCTGCCCTCCAGACATGGCCTCGGGGCTCCTTGATCCCCAGCCCTGTGGCCTTTTGGGGGTGCAGACAGCCTAAGTGGCACACCCCAGAGGCCCTGCCTATGCCCCTGACCAGGACACAGCCGGCCTCTGGCATGGAGGACATGGAAACAGTGGCCCCAGCTGTGGACCTAGTGCTGGGTGCCTCGGCCTGTTGTCTGGCCTGTGTCTTCACCAACCCTCTGGAGGTGGTGAAGACTCGGCTGCAGCTGCAGGGGGAGCTGCGGGCCCCGGGCACCTACCCTCGGCCCTACCGGGGCTTGGTGGCCTCTGTAGCTGCTGTGGCCCGTGCGGATGGGCTGTGTGGCCTGCAGAAGGGACTGGCTGCCGGCCTCCTCTACCAGGGCCTCATGAACGGCGTCCGCTTCTACTGCTATAGCTTAGCCGGCCAGGCTGGCCTCACCCAGCAGCCAGGTGGCACTGTGGTTGCAGGTGCTGTGGCTGGGGCACTGGGAGCCTTCATAGGGAGCCCTGCTTACTTGGTGAGTGCTTTGTCTCCACTCTCTACCGCCTTGGGACCCAGTTCCCTCTGGGGCTCCGAAGCTTCCCCGGCTGGTTTCAGTGGACAGGTGGGGTGGGGTAGGTTGGGTGGGGCTGCTCTCCTGAACATCCCAGCCCAGACCTGGAATTTGCCCCTTGCCCCAGCCGTCACTCCCCTGGGGTCCCCATCCTGCAGGTCCTGAGCCAGAGTAGGGGCAGAGGGTAGCAGGGGATGTGCTGGCTCAAACCCACGTGGTCACTCATGTGGCCTGTGCAAGTTAAGAGTAAAGCTTCCGTGGAGCCAGGTTCCTGCATCGCAGGCAAGATGCAGCACCCCACTGTCATCTGGCTTACTCCTCAGGACAGCTTTTCAAGGCTAAGCAGGCAGCCTGGAGAAGGTTAAATAACTTGCCCCAGGTCACGTGAGGTGCAGACCCAAGAGTCTCACCCCACCCTGTTCCACACGCCCGCTAAGCTGCAGGTGCGGGCTCACGGAGGTCCAGGTGTCAGGGCACAGGGAGGGATGCCCTCCACACAGAGCTTAGCCAGGCTGTCCCAGGGCTCCATCCCCAGGCCCTCTGTCACCTTTGCTTTCACAGGTCAAAACGCAGCTGCAGGCCCAGACAGTGGCTGCGATGGCTGTGGGGCACCAGCACCACCACCAGGTGGGATTGTCACTTCCCAGGGCTCCTCAGGCTGGGCGGGCTCCTGGGCTGGCAGGGGCTGCGCGGTGACCCTGTGCCTTCTCCCCGCAGAGCATCCTGGGCGCCATGGAGACCATCTGGCGGCAGCAAGGCCTGGCAGGGCTGTGGAGGGGTGTGGGTGGGGCTGTGCCCCGAGTCATGGTCGGCTCAGCTGCCCAGCTGGCCACCTTCGCCTCTGCCAAGGCCTGGGTGCAGGAGCAACAGGTGAGGGGCCAGGGGCACCTGTGCCCACCCAGAAACACAGGAGTGATGAGGGCTACCTGCCTCCTTTCTCCCTGTCTGAGTCTGAATCACAGTCTGACATCTCCAGCTAGACCCCCACATCCCAGGGGGTGGTGACAGGCAAGCATTGCGTCCAG